GAGAGCTTCGATCAAACAGCTGATGGGTGCCATTTCAATACCAAAAGTTGTCGCCGTTCCCGTGGAGGTTGTAGGGCGCGAAGAGAGCTTCGATCTTGTAATGACTGAGAAAATTCCAGACTTTAAATAATACAATTTATTTATTTAAGCCAAGGATTTTCCTAGAAATTATTATGTGACTGAAGGATTTATGGAATCAATATATGTATTCCTAAATTCTGTAGCAGATTTCATGTTAAGTTCATGTTTTCGATCAAGTAAATTCGATCGATAAATTCTCGTCGTACTTTAAGGCGGAATAATTTTCAGTACAAGTATAGTTTGAGAATCTTAATTTCAAGAATCTCCAAACACAGCATGATGTTAGCAGCGTAAAAAAAAACGCACTGACATTTTTAAAAAAAGAGAAAATCCTTAATTGCCAGACAGCTAGGTTAAAGTCAGAAGATAAATACCCATAGTAGAAGGGTATAATGTGAACTCGGGAGTTGACACCGTCAGAAACAACGTCATTTCTGAAAATTAACGCAGGATAGTTAAATTTAGAATTTGTTCAGTCTAGAATTAATTTCAAGACTGTAAACAGTTCAAGATATTACGCGAATAAGAATTTAATGTGATATCCAAAGCAGTCAAGGATTTAACATTTAACTGTAAATAAGCAGTAGAAAAAGGAACCGTCAGAAATGGAAACGAATTCCTGTCAGTTAAGTTACTCTCTTATAGTCAGTATAATTTTTATCAGTTTCAAAGGGAAACTTAAGAAAGTGGACAAGAGTACAATGGGGTAGGTGAGATTTTTTTCTCTCTCTTCCTCCACTTGGCCGGCCATGCATGAAAAAATAGAGCCAAACCTTTGGCTAGTGGAGTGTGCTAGAGGACTTTATGTTAAGGTGATGTGATGTTAGTGGTTGGAGGGGAATTAATGGCAAAGTTGCTTCTTCTTTTCTCCTTCCAAAACCGGCCAAGAAAGGGGGATTTGAACCAAAAATTTGGTTGAATGATAGAGTGGAATTGGTGT